ACTGATAACACAGTCTTTGATCCGTTCGTGTTACAACCATTCGTGTTTGTCTAAGCCTCAAAAATAACAAGTGTTGGGAAATGTTCGTATCATAATGGAATTTATATACACACCATTGCTTACAAGTCGCCGAGCAGCGGGTACAAGGTAATGTGTGCGTTGCACTATAACGACACCTGCTTGACTTGCAATCAACCTGGAGGAGTTGGTAAGACTCGAGACGTCTTTACCATCGACATAATTACCCGACGATCTTCGGTGGGGGTCTCATGCCCGCAGATATGTTTGATGCATTTTACTTCCCGATAGCACATGCTGCGAATATGTCTTGCTAAATGATAGTCAGTGCTTGACGAATAACACGAACTACCGAAACTTACTAGACGTTGAGCACTGGGTTCGTCAATTATAGTGAGGTATTGGCCGCCATTCCGCTCCTTTAAAGGGTGAAGTTGGATTATACTCAAGGGCTGCACAGGTTGCGCTAGCAGAAAGCCGTGCAGATTCTAGCTAGTAGAATATTAGCCTGGAAAATCAACGCTAAGATCCACAACTATATTTGCGCGAAGGCATTTTTAGTCCAGAACTAAATTGCTTGCGCACCGCCTGATTGATCGCAATTAAGCGTTAGCGCAGAACTCGAGCAGAAATACGCCCAGTTCGGTTATAAAGAGACAATAGATTTGGTCGGGCGGCGGCGCGAAGCCGAACAATTCGTTGAGCCATCCAAAAGCAGGGTAGTCTGTTTAGATGTTTTTTTCACATTCACACGCCAGCCTCTAGCCTTCTTGCGCTACACATTAATATATTACATTGTCCCTGAATATAAGCCGAATTGTAGGATGAGCAGAACAAAATCATAAACCTCTATGCCTTAAATCTCGTGTCAAGCGCCAACAAAGAATCCAGGCAACAGTTGCAGCGATACCACCAAGCCTGATATGTGACATCATTAACTTGACCAACAACGAACTGTTCAAAGAACTGACCTAAATATATATACAACAGAACCGGAGGTTGACAGATTGTCCTCACGCCGATGTAGAAGGCTATGAGCAGGTGTACCTGTCATTGTCCCATTTGTCGGGACACCGACAGCCCCATGCGAAATCCCATGATGCGCCGGAAGTACGCTTTTTTTAGGATCAAAGATGGCAAAGATGATAGCGGATATCCCAGTGACGAGGAATTGTGGGATGACGACAAATACATTATTGATCCCCTTGGTTGGATTAGCATTGGTGGACAATCACGGAAATCAGTGACCGCACGAGTATGATTCCAGCTTTGGAACTCAATCCTCCATTTCGTCCACTCTCGTTTTCAGGTTGACCAACATCCAAACTTCCGCATTCGGGATTACTATCGACATGGTGTTCATTTGCCCGATCCTTGGATTGCGTAGCAACTTCAGAACGCTCGTATCCGTCCAAATCGTTATCGTCACCGCTCGCGGTTTCAGAACCAATTTTTGGTAAGAATGTCTCCCGTTCGCTATCAGCGCTACTTCTTGTTCGGGTGTCCATCAAGCGTATTGCTGTGACAGCATTAGTAGGAGCATGTTCGGTGAGAATCGCTTCTCCTAGCTATATACATGAGAACGCAACCTTATGATGGTGAATCTGCCTGCCTTACCAATGAGAACGGAGCCCATGTGGCAATGGCCCAAGAAAACCCCGTAATCGTGATCAGTAATGTTGCTCCATATACGCTCGAGGTGAAACTACGTCGATGACAAAAAAGTAAACAGACTGCGCTGACCATGCACCAGGTACTTACAATGTTCCAAACATACATCCGGCCACGACGAGATTGCTCAGGGTCCACAGGCTACCGAGGTGGACTTGCATTCTTCGCGGCACTCGAAATGATACCAATCTTTTGAACAACACTCGCCAACTTGGCTTTCTTTCGAAGCGTGAAGATGTATCGCCTGCGTCGCCCAATAACCTATGTCTCCTTGAAGCCTCTTCGTCGGCAGTCTCGGAAATAAAGTAAGGAAGCACAACATTACAGGAGAGCGATACCAGTGCCGAGTAGAACAGCGCCCGAGATCCAAACCGAGTAGCATCTGCGTCCACCGCAACCATGTCTTGATCAGACAAGGGGGAAGTCGACGAAGCAAGGACAGCACGCTTATACAAATCTCCGACGTAGATTGTGGTATAAAACAATATGGGAAACCATGATAGTGAAGCACTGATTGGGGTCAGGAAGAGGCGTTTACGGAAGTCGAACACGTACAAGAATTGAATCATGAACTGATGTGCTTTGCATTAGTTCTGTATAATACTAGTCTCAAGCATACACTTACGATTTGCCTAATAACAGGTGGTAACGTAACCATGGTTGACCACATATCCTTTAATTCTTGGGTAAATGTCTGCTTGCGCGTTTTGAAGTCATCGTCTTTGACTAGGATTCGTTCTTTAACAACCACCGCCATAACAACATGCCCTGCAAAGAGTAACAGCGAGACGATGACAGAAAGCACTTCAAGTTGCGATTTTCCAAGAACAGGGAAAAGGGAAGGGAGGTTGATATTGCCTCTGTCCAGTTTTGTTAGTGGTTGTGTAGCAAATCAGCTTCTAAAGACACACACGAAGAAGCCGATGACGCTCCCAACACCAAGCATGCGTGCAGCCCAAGCGTTCCCTGCAGGTTGGGCTGCTGAAGGAAGCGTGTCAACCAAGAGAGCACGGTCAACAGCTTGAACTAAATATCGATGTATAAGACAATTTACAGATTAAATTAATCGACATACCGGCGTTGATGGAAAAATCTATCAAGTATATGGCTAGGACGGCCAGCCATCTAGTCAAGATGTCATTCTGCTATGTTGTCAACTTTGAATTGAATCAATTGAATAAGGTCTTACGGCGTCATTGTTCCATCCACTGAATATGGAGGCTACGGGCCGGGTGAAGCCTAATAACAGCATCGAGAACATGCAGATGACTGTTCCAAGAAGCATGTAAGGCCTTCGACGACCAAAGCGTGAGGTACAGTTGTCTGCCAGGACACCTTCAGAAGTTGTCAGTGATAGGCTCAATTCTGATGCTTTCGTATCGCACCAATCAACGGCTGCATAATTAATCCTGACAATGGTCCAGCTACGAATACCATAGCCATGCTGGACTTGGAAAGGCCAGTGGAAAGCAGATAGGGAGATGCTAGGCAACAAAGTTTCAACAGACTGTCAAGAGAGTGGCGTCGCTCACGTACCATATGACATCTCAACACTCCAGAAAATCTGCACACCTAGGAGACCAATTGTCAGCGCTGGTAAATTGAGCCATGTCGGCCCAAGTATTCGTGATGCGCCTTTGAATTTTCGGTGGACATTTTCCCCTCCCCCAGAGACTGCCGCGAAACCTGTCATGGACCGTCAACTAAGGCCGCAAGACACGAGAACAGAAGTCCTGCAGTGTCACAACAGTAGCAGTACAGAGTAATTCGAAAGATTTGACACGTGATGAAATGTCGTTCCAATGCAGGGAGTTTTTACTGACCGCTGCCATGGAAGCGCATTGCCACTAGACCAGATGCGCATGTCCTCTTGTGCTTCCTTACAGTCCTTTAACTAAACCAATATCAAATGCTCTCAAATAAGGACGAGAGGTCTGCTTATATAAGCTTGCTACTGCACCACGCCCTTCTTTCAAGTTGAACATGGGTGAATGTATTGTGGTATATCCTTTCTCCGTCTAAAGGAAAGGAAGTCTCTGACCTTGTTTCCTAGCACCATGACTGGTTTACTGCCTCCCTCACGTTTGGTCTTTGTTGTGGGCTGGTAATCTCCTATGCACCCCAGGTGTCCTCCATTCCTTTTGTAACTGGGTGCTAGGTGGCTCATTCAAGACGTTTCAGCACTACCGAATAATAAACTCAGGGTCATCCATGGGACTTAGCCCATGGTTTCTACTTCTGGGGAGTACATCGGCGGCGGCGGGAATGTTGAACATGTATGATCTCTTACATTCCCCTTTTCAACGGTCTGATCAAATGCAGGGTGACGTTGCAATGGCCTATCGTCAAGTGTTGTAGCATTTTGGTGGGCATTTATCTTGAACGCGAGACGTGTCCTTACTCTCACAGCCCATGGGTAGTTGCTTGGAGATATCAGCTGGAATCATCCAGGTAGGATTGCAATGGTTACTGTTTACCATAATGTAAGTGTTCTTCGACATGCTCTGGTCAGTGTTGAGATCCACTTTCTCGTCAGTTTGGTTTTATACATGATATACTACCCGCAAGAAATGAAATACGAATTCGTTGATTCAGTATCCGATGTACCAGGTGCTATCAGAAAGGCCCCGAAGAAGCGCGATGAATGGCAGATCTCGATTGTACTTGCGTGGATAGTAGCAACACACTTGTACGTCTGGCGTTTTAGCAGAGCCCGCAGTGGCTTATCACCCCTAGCGTCTTCACATGCTTCACTACGATCTATCTTTTGGCGAGCACTCCCTTTTCCCCGAATGACCTGCTGCCTGAACGTATATCCTCATGGGCGACTTTCCTTGGGGTATCGTCTGCATTGCTAGCGGCGTTGGAATACGCGCCCCAGCTAAAGTATACTTTTGAAATTAAGCTTGTTGGTGCCCTCAGCATACCGATGATGCTGATTCAGACGCCGGGGGCTATCTTTATGGTCCTTAGCATTGCTCTCAGGTAAGGAAATTTTCAGCGGGAGCGCCATTGCGTTAATTATTCGTTGCTGCAGGCCAGGTACAAATTGGACAAGTTGAGCTAACATCACTCACATTTACACATGGAGCTGAACAATTACTTTTGCAGGCTGGATCACGTTTGCGGTGGCAGGCATCATGCAAGGGTCTCTTCTTCTTATGTGCCTTGCCTGGAAGGTCCGACAGAAACGACTTGGCGTGGATGACTTTGGGCAGCGCATTGTGACGACAGCCGCAACAGCATCCACTGCCGACGAGGTTACTCCATTGTTAGCGGGTAGAGCATAGATGAGGGGCAAAAAACGATTTAGGCGCTACCAGGGTTCGAACCTGGGTTTCAGGAAAGTGATCTTCAGAATCCTGAGTGATAACCACTACACTATAGCGCCGCTGGCGCAGAGATTAATGAGCGTGAGAATATGATGTTGACATGTGTCGAACACGTGCCATTATCTAAGCGAGCACATGTCTACCTTGAGGCGCGTCGTGGTGAGGCAAGTCGCGAGGCTGCAGGGAGTCTAGGTCTCCACCTCCTCATGAAGCTTACGATTTCGACCTTTCTCTTCGTCACTCTTCAATTTGTGCTGGCACGCTCCTCAGCGACTACTACTTTTGCTTTGTGAGTGAATTGTGTGCTCGTTGACACTCACTGACTAGCGTAGGCCCCCAGTTATGACCATATTCCCAATTCTTGCATACTCTTTGATTATTTCTGCCTTCTCCTATATATCTGCTCGCATTCTCAAACATTTCAACTTCAGCTCGGACCTTCTCGCCTTTCTTCGTCGCAAGGGTCGTTTTGCACCGCGATCAATTACGCACGAGCATGAACTCCTTCCAACCTCCACCGCCTCCCCATCGGCTACACCTTTGTTTGGCATGTATGCTGCATCAAGCAATGTGACTCCCCGCTCTAGCCTTGATGCTCTACCTGTCTTACCACCTCGGCTGATTTCGCCTCTTTCGTCACCGCCAGGCCCTTCACAATCTCGTCGCGTGACGAACCCTCCTCTTTCTTCATTCTCTATCCTCAAACCCACGTTGTACAGGCACAAGCACAGGCGCAGCCGCTCTCTTGGCGTACCCACGCCTCGTCCGCGGCATTGGACATCACAATTTCCCCCTTCGCCGCCTGTTCAACAAGAGACCACTGACAGTCGACGCAGAAACAGTGAAGATGATATTCCGCTTGCATTTCTTTCTCGAGGAGCTGAACGTCCTTCTTGTGAGCTTCGCACACTTGCGTCCGCCCCCGTACTTCATGAACCGTCTATGTCCGCGCCAATCTTGTTGATTCCCGATTCTGGCCTCCAGACCTCTATTCATGGACCACTGGTTGACATCTCACCTGTGTCCCCAGATTCTACATCTTCTTCCAGTCGTCAAGCATCCTCCATAACTGGACTCTCTTATTCAGGTTCCGAATTGGCATTACAGCCTTCTTCCTCGCCTTCTGATTCGAACAGTCTATCTTCTCTGTCTAGATCGACCCAGAGTTCCGATATCGGGGCGCAGACCATAGACAGACTCGGCGGTTTTGCCTATGACTGGGGATTTGACAATGTCAATGATATAAATTTCATCAAGAGTCCTCCAAGAACCATTGCTCTTCAGGAATCCTCATCGATTCCGCTTCCAAGTGACCATGAGATTATCGTTGCCTCTGGGGAGCAAAGTAACAATTCCCACTCTGGAATCGGTGACCAAGCCTCGGGTGTAGCAGAGGGTGGCGTCATGCAAGACGCCATGGAGAGCGCTTTAGTTCAAGTACCAACCTCCGTACAATTGGACTTGCTCCCTATAGACGACGGGAATGACCGCTGGACAGCCGCTAATTTGGCGCATTCAAGTTCAGACCCAAGTACAGCGGAAGAAACAGAGTTTGTTACATATCCCCCTCCGCTAGTGTCAGAACTAGTGGATTCAAAGGATATTCAACCGGACGATTTCCAGGAGATCGCATCAAAAACGTCGGAAGATGACAGGGCAACGCATGAAGGTGAGACGACACCACAGAAGTCGGGCGAAGATTCTTGGGATGAGACAAGCGTTTCAACTCTGTCTTCGCTTCCCCACTTTACCATTGAGAACTCCCATGTCGAGGAGCGGCCTCTCATAGCTGTCAATACTTCTGATCTAATTAACCCACCCAAACGAAGAGATTCGGCTAGAGGGAGGAAATGCCTGTCGCCGTTGTCCCCCTCCCAGACTCCGACACCTCCCGCTTCACCGCCTATCACATCCATGGAAGTATCGGAAGACTTAACTGGCATTAGGAAGTCCCAACTTGGAGTAACCATGGTTTCGCTGGAGTCTGAACCCACGTCACCCATTAGGACGAAAGAAGATGCAGCGATGGAGAAAGGACCTCTCACTCTGAGCATCGCAGACGCCGAAAAGCTCGACGAAATTCGCCGGGAAGATGTACAAGGAGAAAACGGCGACGTTGCACCTGCAGTCGTCCTGCAAGAAGGCTCAGGGTGTGGCACTGATAAGACAGAAGACAACGTTAGCCCAGTAAGCAGTCATGCAAGTCCGACGTGTAGCCCAAGGATTGCGCCGTCTGTATGGTCAGTGCATGCCGCAGATTCTCAACCCTTGGGGATGAGCACTGCACAAACCACGCTGGTTCAGGAAGAGGTGGCGTGGCCGAACGCGAATCCGAATCTGAAACCAGACAACGAAGGCCCTCAAAACGAGCAGGCTGATGAAGTAACATCGATTACGACGCAGCAGCATGTTCAGCCAGCAGTCGAAGATCAAGAAACTTTGCCTGGGACATTCCCAGAGTTAGAGTCAATAGCTGAAAAACAGTCCGGGAATCTCTCTGCTTCATCCGCAGCAGTTGTAGCAGCATCCGGCATATCACATCAGCGACGAAGCATGAGAGGTCTTCCTCTCGACGTTGCGCTAGCAATGCAACTGCGCCCTGGACTTGGAGTCGGCGCGGATCCAGCTTGGATGGTTAGGTTCTTGATGGCTGTGTTCGGTTGGTTTGCAGTCATGATTGCCGGTAGGGGTGGAGAAGTCGATGTCTATGCTTTATGAGGAATGTCTTTGATAGCTCTAACCCTTAACGTTAACGACCATGTTTATGAACTTTCAGCACTAATGATTGACCCACGGATTCCGGTACCTTACATTCATTTAACACGATAGCTGTGTATTCGTTACCTTATGCATTCCTTACAGCTCCACGTGTACTTATTCCCTCGCATAGCACGACGAACATTGATTGCCTCTCTAATCAGGGATCAGAAAACAGTAGCATCGCTTTCAATTTCGATAGGAGGACCACCAGTGGCAGGCCTGCGGAACTTGGCGATTTCGCGGCCTCCCTTCCACGTTGCCCCCTCGAGTAATTGCGCTAACGTCAGTTGAGGTTCGGTTAGGTTAAGTGATTGGCGAATAGTAGCTGCGATGCGATCGCTGGGGAAAAAAAAGTCGACAATTTCCCAGATGCCAACTTAGAGGTGTAGCTTACAGTCCCACAACCGTAAGAGCGCGCCATTCAACGACAGCAGGGTGTGACGGAGAAGCGCGCGGGAGGCCTGTCTTTCCATCAATTGGCAGCGAATCGGGCTTCAGCTCCAGAACGCCAAAATCGATCAACAGCCCGCCTATGTCGAATCATTTATGGGCATCTCGTAGTGGAAGAGACAAGATACCATTCCGGTATTCGGGCAAGCCAGTCAAGTCCTCTTTGCCAACAATACGCCAATTTAGGGTTCGTTCCAGGACTTCAATCAAGCTGTATGCGAGCCATTGGCTCAGCTTGTGGAATGGTACGAAGTCGTCACCTTCCCCTTTGGCGATCTTTCAGTTATTGACGCATGTAAAATTCGAGGTGAACACGACCTTTCTGGTTTCCTGCAGCTTCTTTCAAGGCAGGGCAAGGCCAGACGTCTCCAAGACTAGTTTCACCGATTTTCGTGTGAGACGGCCACATGTTACCGAGCCCACTGATGAGGACATTCCACAGAGCGGTGAACGGCAAAATGGTGGTTCCATCGTCTGACACAGACGATTTGGATTCCAGAAAATCTGCCTTCTACTAAGCTTGAGTCGTCAGGGGCGTCCAGAATACACACCTATCATATTGCCTGGTCTACCAGGTGCCTCGCCAAAATATTGAGAATTGTCGAGACATGCGCTAAGGTTATACAGCAGACCCGCACGTCCTTCTATACCAACGATCGGGTTAGTATTCTCATCTACCTGCATTCCTTGTTCCAGTTTCGAGACAGAAAGTTGGGATAAACCCTTTGCTGTTGAACAATCATGTACTGATCGCGCTTTTGTACGCAACAGACGTACCATCTACTTGATGAGGATTATCGCTATTTGATGAGAAGAAACCGTCTTTGAACAAATGCACGCTGGCTACAGCAAGGCCCTCTGATCGAGAAAAGACCTTTCCCGACGAGGCTTCAGTGTATTTCCAAACATTCCCAGCACCGGCATCAAGTATCACCGAGATAAGAGTGAGATCAAGTAAACGTCGAGCTTTCTCCTTGGGATCTACATCAACCCATCCTTGGAGGAGTGGCTCGACACGTGGAGTGCCAGCATCAAGATGACGCCAACGACTATGGGGTTGAATCTAGGGTTTATCGATGGCGAAGTTGCGGGTGAATGACCAGTAATAAAGAAATACACTCGCCTTCGTCAAGTCCGTGCCGTAGTCTCGCTACAATTTGCGTTGGAGATACTGCTGGTCAGACGCGAATCATTGTTCGTACCTTCAGGAGAACGATACAGAACCCCGCAACGGACACTTCTTTGTCCTCGTTGTAAACAAAATATTGAAGTTTGTTTTCCTTTGCAAGTTCAAACACTTTATTACACCTTTCTCTGACTGCTTTCAGCGACGTAAGGTATTCGACCGTGGCCATGCTGGCGGTTGACTGAGTACTGACATCTGGCGAATCGATGATAAGATAAGATGTCCCACGCGGTCACGTGATTAAATGGTTCAAGTGTGCGGGCACGTGCTAGCGCGTGTTCTGCATCGTGGACATGCACCCTAACATTCCCAAAACTCCTGCGCGCAACCGCACGCGTTCAGAGGCCAAGACGCCTCTGACGCCTTCAATTCTCTCTGGCTTAGGCAATCTACGCCTTGCTTCTTCCCCGACGAAACGGCAAGGGGCACGGACAAAGACGAAATCTATACCAAGTTCTTATGACACCACGAATCCATTTATCGCTCCCCCTTCCTTTGCGCAACAATCGCGTCCCTCTTCCCCTATCAAGCGGACTACATCCAGTGGTATCCCTCTTTCTGAGGCCTTCCAGCGTCAGGCAAACGGAGGCGTTATACGCAGGGGCGGAGTGGAAAGTAGACTTGAAGTCGTCACTCGCGACTACGTTCCACCCCCTAAAGCAG